TCAGAAATTCAATAATTTAGAAATTCAATAATTCAGAAATTCAATAATTTAGAAATTCAATAACTCAGAAATTCAATAATTTAGAAATTCAATAATTCAAAAATTCAATAATTCAGAAATTCAATAATTCAATAATTCAATAATCCAGTAATTCAATCATTCAAAAATTCAATAATTCAATAATCCAGTAATTCAATCATTCAAAAATTCAAAAGTTCGCAAATCCAATAACCCCAAAATTGAATAATTCAAAAATTCACAAGATCCTATAGTTCAGAAAATAAATCCACTAAACGAATCTCAAAATCCAGAACCTCAAAGCACTAAAAATGCACAAATTCGCGAATCTAAAAATTCAGAAACTTAAAAATTTGCAGAACAATATAAAAATTTCCAAAAAGCAATTACGAACCATTCCCTTTCCAGACCCGTATTTTTCCGATTTCCCAGACTTCTGTTTCGGAATTGATACCAGGTTTTGCGACAAACTCGCAGCAGCTGTTCCCCTTTGCCCAATGAAATTTATGGTTCGCAATATCGTTACGGACCACGGTCTAACAGCGTCACAATAATTTCGATTCGTAACATTACCGTGGAAAACTAGTGTTATTTGCGTCATGTATCCGTTATGATATACTGTTTACCGTGGTACGTCAGCTCCGATGATTTTCCCCAAACATCATCGTTGCAATTCATACCCCCGATGCATTATCAATCGGATATCATTGTACCACGTCATTAACACTGCGTTGCGAGTCGACGGTAATTAGATGGACTTACGCTCTGATCGATTGTACTTGTAACCAAATCTCTGGTCGTACAAAAGCACGACTTGCTACACGATAATGCACTATCGCTGTATCACGTGAATTCTGATGCACTGTGTTCACAACTGAAACCGTCGATTAATTACGCGGGGAAAAACGATGGAACATTTTTTAGTTTTGTTTAGAAAATGCAATGATCTCTGTAGAATATTTTGACTTACTGCTGTCGTTGGCCCTATAGTACCTGAATATTCAACCACACATTTAGGAACTTTTAACTTCCTCAGTTTTCAAATATCCAAAACTTCCTGGCTTTCAAAAACCCCAACTTTTATCAGTACATATTCGGCGTGTTTTAAATTTCGTCTAATTAATTGTCCGCTAAAAAAGCAACATTCTATTTGTCCCGGCGTTAATTAACCTTTTCCTCGAATATCTTAACATCCGACCCCAGTGATTTAAAATGTTCCGTTTAAACCTTGCTCTGATTTTATTGTGAAACACATCGGTCGCAGAGTGGACGCAGAATTGTTTGCGCAAGCAACGAACGGAACAAAGCGAGGAGCGATGTGATAAAATATTCAAAAGAAAGCCGACATGACGCGTTTTCGGACCTGTTGTTTGTCTTATCGCACAACAATCACCGAATCGTCGCTATTATCCTGACGCGATCGCTGCGGTGAAAAGCAAATTGCTAGGCACGAAATTGATTTCCACCCATTCAATTGCTCTGTCCTGCAATTCCCTTGAAATCTTGCGGCTGTGTGCGTGTAACTGAAATGCAAGTGACGGAACGATGGGGTTTTAAAAAAAAAAAAAAAAACAGAGAGAGAGAGAGGCACGAACAATGGAAGCTATCTTAACCACGAACGATCATCACCCCTTTCGATTTTTCCCAACTAAACTTCACGTTTGACGTTTGACTGTCAGCTACCCTTTTTGTTTACGTTTTCACCACCATTCTTTTACGCCTTCGGTAACAATTAGCTGGATAAATTTTTTACTTGCTACGGTACGTTTTTATTTATTTTGTTTACTGGAGGGTGGTTTTGGGAGATTGATATTTGTTGAGGTATTTTATATTTGTAAGTTTGAGAGGAGTTGATGTGGTGATTTCAGAGGTTTTGATGGGGGAAGTTGTGAAGTTTAATATTTATATAGGGTGTGTCATAAGTAGGGTAGGTCCTTGAAATGGGGGGTAGCTGATGTAATTCTGAATAACATTTTCCTTTGCAGAAATGGGGTTTGAAGCTTCGTTTTTGAATTATTAAGGAAAAAGACGGACCAATCAGAGTGTGAGGATTATTACGCGTTGGTTAACTACGCGTTAGATTACTACGCGTTAGATTTCTACGCTTAGAATTACTACGCGTTGCACTACTACGCGTTGGACTACTACGCGTTGAATATGCACGCGCTAGATTACTACGCGTTGGATATTCACACGCTGTATTACTACGCGTTGTATTACTACGCGTTGGATTATTACGCGTTGCATTACTACGCATTGGATTACCAAGCGCTGGATAATTTTGCGTTATCCGAAGCTGCCGCTCTCGCGTCTGCGCATGCGTAACCCTCGCGCTCTGACTGGTCCGCGTTTTTCCTTAATAATTCAAAAACGAAGCTTCATACCCCATTTTTGCAAAGGGAAATCTTATTCAGAATGACGTTAGTTATCCCCCATTTGAGAGACCTACAGTAATTGTGAGATACCCTGTATACTAATTTGTATTGATTCAAAATTTAACCTTCGACAAGAATATATGATTTGTTAATGATTATAATGAATATTATAGTATAAAATCTATAAATTGTTGCCCTCAATAATAATTCAAGTTCGTAAAAGAAAGTGCAATATATACAACACAGTGTATAGATATTTAGAAATAAAGAAGTATGATGATTTATGAATTGTATTTAAAAAATCACTACATCAACTCCTCTCAAACTTACAAATATAAAATATCTCAACAAAATATTTCAATTTATTTAAAATTGTATAAAAATTGTGAACACCTTCAAAAATTGCAAGTGGCTAGTTTATCCCAAAAGCGTCACAAGCTCTGATAAAACAAATCAAACGTAGTTCTCGTTAAAATTAGCGCAGCTCTTAAAGCAATTGCCGCATCATTATCATTTAACGAGCAAACGCATCGTTATATTTACGAAATGTAAAATTCACGCAGCAAGTGGCCTCCGCGGCGTTATTGCTTATGTAGACTCATGAAAAAGCCAATGGCCCGAATGTTTCGTGCACGAGCATCGAATAGAGTGCATCGTATTTCAGCTAGTGCAATTTATCGACAATTTATACGCATTGACGAAACGGGACGGATATAGGACGTTCTTTTTCGTGTAGAGACACGCGTAAAAGCATCTGAACACGAAGTACATTGGATGCTCGGGACACCCAGGAAAAACATAGACAGTGGAGAGTGGAAAGTTTACGGGGTTATCTCTCTCCTGTACGCTTTAGTACCGGTAATGTTGCTAGCAAATGACATTGAAGTGCTGGAAGAATTATGGACAATCGTTTCTATGAAATTGCGCTCATTTGTTTTGACCGCGATATAGAGATCGCGGTGTCTACCGATGTCTGCCCAAGGGTTGGCGCTGTGACGCACTTGTGATGTATTCGCAGTTCCAATTATTTTAATTTTTTCTCGTATTTTTGGTACAAGTGAACTTTCAATTTAGGTTTAATAATTTATGTGACAGAGATGTTTATTTTACAATGTGATGCACACCATGACGCATCATACAACACAGTATATCATGACGCACATCATGACACACCGTACGACGTACCCTGTCATGACGCACTATATGACGTGCCCCATCGTGACGCACTACATGACGCACCTCATCGTGACGTACCATATGACGCACCCTATCATGACGCACTACATGACGCATCCCATCATGACGCATAATATGACGCACCCCATCGGGATGCACTACGTGACGCACTACATGACGCATCTCATAATGACGCACCATACGACGCACTACATGACGCACTTCATCGTGACGCAACATATGACGCACACTATCATGACGCACTACATGACGAATCCCATCATGACGCACCATATGACGCACCATAGTCATATTATATCATGACGCACCATATGACGCACTACACGTCACATTATATCATAACGCACCATATGACGCACTACATGACGCACCATATGACGCACTACATGACGCACCATATGACGCACTGCATGACGAATCCCATTATGACGCATCATATGACGCACCATATGTCATTATATCGTGACGCACCATATGACGCACCTCATAGTGACGCACCATATGACGCACCTCATAGTGACGCACCATATGACGCACCCTGTCATGACGCACTATATGACGCATCCCATTATGACACATCATACGTCACATTATATTATGACTCACCATATGACGCACTACACGTCACACTATATCATGACGCACCATATGACGCACCATATCACGATGAATATACGTGTTGATATTTCCTAGTATTACAACTTATTGTACAGGTCAAACTAAACTCAAACTAACGCGAGCAACAAAATTGCAGTCTTGTAAATTATACCCCGATCAAAATAACCAAATTCGGAAGTTGCCTCGGATCATTACAGAGCGATCCGTACTCGCGTCGAACGCGAAGTCCGTTCGTATTCGGCGGAATAATTGTTCGAAATTAATAATTGGAATCCGTTGCTCTGTTTCAGATACCGGTGCAACGATCAGTCATCGTAACGAGTAAGTTTTCACCGAACTTCTAATTAAATTGAACCGATACCGCAACGTCTGTTCGCGCGTCAAGTGTAAAAGGAAAACAGATTATAAATCAGCGAACTTTAGGATCCCGCTAATGGGACGCTTTTACGATTGGTTCATTGCCGCAAAGTGCGTCATAAAGGAGCTAATGAATCTCGATCCGGTGTCCGTTGGCTATCGTTGTATATTTACACGACGGGCGGGCCGCGTGTTTGTTACGTTTTATTTAGTCTCCCGTTTGGTTCGCTTCTGTCGTCCGGTCGTCTCTCATCGCCTCGCGCACGAATTTCTTGTCCCGTGAAATTCTTGACGAACGTTCAAAATTCTCGCTGCGTCGCTGCACTCTAGAGATTTTGCAGTTTGATCGAGTTCGACGACATTCGAATTATTTCTTTGTGGACGCCATATTTCTTGCTTTGGTTCGGTTAGATTACGTGATATTTTGTGATTAGGTTGGGTTACGCAATATTTCTTGGTACAAGATTAATTACATTAATAGACAAAACTATATATTATGATAAAAGAAATTGAGGAAAATTAAGAGAGATGTTCGATAATTGCACGTTTGATAATTGGACGTTCGATAAGTGGACGTTAGATGACTGCACGCTCGATAACTGCACGTTCGATAACGGAACCTGCCCCGCGCTCCAATATAAAATCGTCGGACAAACTGTCCACATAACAATTATCTAAAAAACCGCGACCAATCTGTTTTTTGAAGGAGTAATGCAGATGATTCGAAAGTTAAATCTATAAAGAAGAAATAGACCCGTAAAAGCCGATCTCTGTCAGCTGTCCAAACAATCGGATAACATTTTCGGGGAACACAGGAGCGTTTACGCGAAGATATCGAATAAAATCGCGTCGAAATAAATATCGCGGCTTGAAACGTTTTCGGAGAACGGATGATAGATATAAAAAAGCGAGAAAGAGGTTCAGTTTTACGGATTACCGAGCTTCCGGAAATATTTGTACAACCCAATTTGCCGCTTGACGGTCGTCGCAGGGTAAGAATTTCTCTCGTTTTTTTTTTTTTTTTTGTCGACCGCCGCCTTTATTTTTTTTTATTTTTGCCCTTTTATTTCGACACAAACACCATTCATGAGCGTCGTTAGCCGGGAAATTTCGACAAAAGCCCGACGTCGAAAACAATCGTGTGTGCTTAACGAATATTAACGTTCGTTTTTATAACCCGGCGAGAGTTTGCCGCATTACTCGCTCGGACTCTCGTTGTCGACGGAATGCAGCGACGATTTTTGTACAAACGACGGATAAAAACAGGACGTTTGACTAGGTGACCTCCATCCGGCGTTTTGCCGGGGCTGTTTGGATCCCTTCGATGCCGGCAAAAAGATCGTTAGCGGGATCTAGAAATGGTATACCGATACGGCTTATCGATTCTAATTTACCGGAAAGTCATTATCCTGGAAAAAGTTGCCGGTTCACCGAACGTAATGTCCGCTCAAATTCATCCTAGACCTACTGTTTTACTCCTGGTCGATTGGCTACTTGCACTTCCATCTTGATAAATCGATACATATGCGATCGATCACGGACGGTAATCAGGCTTCTTGCGATGTGGGAGGCTGGGATCTTCTGGAGGCACGGAAGCTGTAGATTTAGGATTTGAGTCGACTGCGTTTCTTGTTTCGTAAATTTGGACTCTGATATTTACATTTGTACCATGCAATTAAAGCTGAAGTTATAAACTGGAAGTTAAGTTTGAACTGAGAAGATCATAGCTAAGTTTGAACTTAGGAGCTCATACCTAAATGTGAAGTTAGAAAGTTGAATTTAACTTTTAGTACACGAATCTGTAGTATAACGTTTAAACAAAATAACTGCATAAACGTTTCATCAATATTTATAACATAAAATGGCTGGTGCCTCGTTGGAACAAAAAACGAATCAATCAATTTTTTATTATTTTCCATTACTGAATTTCAGCCTGCAATTGTTTGTACTTTAAAGTGACAAAAGAATATTTTATTCACTTTGTCGTTTAAATATTTTTAACACCTCTATTTTAAAAAGTTGCATAAAATAGAAACTGCAGAGTAATTTTTTTCTACATAATCATTTCAGAAATTATCTTTGCAAAGTTTAATCTTCATTTTGAAACGTTCGAAGTATCACTTTGGTGTACTTACGTGACAAAATCTTGTCAGTAAACTTTCGCGTTAACAAGTTTGAGAACTCAAAAAGTTAATAACCCAGCACAGAGTGGCAACTTGAAAATTCGAAATACTCGACAGCAAAAAAATTCCAACCCTCGATAGAATATTTCTGTATTTTGCGTTCGAAGTTTCAGGCGGGGAAACGTTTCGATAAGAGAACGAATATCGTGGAAAAATTCCGCGTAAAAACATCCCTAGAGGTGGAGCGAAACCGAGAGAAATGTAGGAAGCAGCGACGATCGTGCGACAGCATCGCTTAATTTTCAAATTCTATTTTCGAATTGCGGTCACGGTTTGATTTTTCTCCCGGTCCGGGGTCACAGGTACGAGCCGAAGCGGGGTCAGGAACGGACCGCATTCTTCTCGATGCGTAACAAAATTAAATTCTCCGCCGACGGATTGGTAACCACCGCATTCTCTTGCGTGTGAAAAAAACTAATTGCACCGGCTCTCGTCTTCAATGAATTTTCCCGGCCATTATTCAGCCGGAGGACACGTTGCCAGCGGACGAAAAAACGGATGCCTCGTGTGTCATTTTGTTCGAAAACTCCTCTTCCTGCGCCGGCAACCAAACTTGATTGACCACTCGTGTAAAACTGGAACTTTGATAAATCGTTTTTTAAATTCCTTCGTTTGACGATTTTTGTACTCTCGTTGATGTCATTCTATAATTTATATACTGACTGTTTTATGTACTGTCATTTAATTTATGTACTGTTATTTAACGTGGGACATTATGGACACTGGGAAGCTCATACCTAAATGTGAAGTTAGAAAGTTGAATTTAACTCTGAACTTAGGAGTTCATACCTAAATTTCATGTGAGAAACTTGAACTTAAATTTGAACTCACAAGCTCGTACCTACATTAACAATTAAAAACTAGAACTCAAATTTGAACTCAGAAGTTCACAGCTAAGTTTGAAGTTAGAAGCTTGAAGTTAAGTTTGAACTTAGAAGCTCGTAGCTGAATTTGAAGTTAGAAGCTAGAACCTAAATTTGGAGTTAGCGGTTGTAATTTAAATTTCAAGTTGGGAATTCAACTAAAACTTGAAGCTATGTATTACAATTTAAGTTTCATGTCAGGAACTTTCATCTAAATTTGAACTCAGAAACTTCAATTTAAACTTGAAGCTAAATACGACAACTCAAACCTGAAGTTAAATACTTCAACTCAAATTTGAAGTTAAATACTTCAACTCAGATTCGAAGTTAGATATTTTAACTAAAGTTTGAGGTTACCAGCTTCAACTAAAATTTGAATTTGAAGATTCAATTAAAGTTTGATGTTAGACACAGTAAGCTAAATTAGAAGCCAGAAATTTCAGCTTGAACTTGAAGTTACAAACTGCAACCTAAATTTGAGGTTAGAAGCTGTAGCTTAAATTTGAACATAGAGTTCAATCCAGATGTGGAGATAGAGACTTTTACTTAGATTCGAAGTTGCAAACCCTAACTCAAGTTTGAAGTTACAAACTAGTACTCAAATTTGAAGTCATACATTTGAACCTAAATTTGAAGTTACAGTGTGCACCCTGAATTTGAGGTTAGAAACTGTGACTCAAATTTGAAGTTAGAAATTTCAATCCAAACGTGGAGACAGAGATGTTTACCTTGATTTGAAGTTGCAAACCACAGCTTAAGTTTGAAATTATAAACTGGGGTCTAAATTTGAAGTTAGAGACTCAACCTAAATTTGAATATAGAGACTTTCATTTGGATTTGATGTTGCAAACCACAGGTCAATTCTGAAATTATAAACTTGAACCTGAACTTGAAGTTTGAGATTTCAAGCTAAATTTGATGTTAGAAACTGGTACCTGAATTTGAGGTTGGGGATTTCATCTTAAATTTGAAGATAGAGAGTTGCGTTTAGATTTGAAGTTAGAAAGCTTGTCTAAAATTGAAATTACAAACTTGAACATAAATTTAAAATCAGAAGCTTGAACCTACATTCGAAATTAGAAATTTGAAGCTAAATTTGAAGATCGAGATCTCACCCTAAATTTGAAGATAGAAACCTGGACTTGAAGTTAGAAACCTCAACTAAAATTGAAATTACAAACTTATACCTAAATTTGAAATTAGAAGCTTGAACCTAAATTTGAAATTAGAATCCTAAATTCGAAACATCTAAAATTTGAAGTGTCTGAAATTTCCATACTTCCAAATTTTTTAAATCTGCAGCAAAACCAATATCATAAACAGCACAATAAATAATTCTAAAGCTTGTATGTACTATATAATTGAATCCACGAACCACTAAGGAATAATTGATAGACTGTACATTTCTGAATACTTATATTTTTCACGAATCGCACGAAGGCGTTTCATGGATCGTTCCAATTTCTGGACGTTGAAGGATTATGTAGCATCACGATTCCGGTGGAACATAACTCGAGAAACAGAAACCAGTAAAACGAGAAAGATCGAGGGTCGTTCTCGTCCGGCTATCCGAGAGAATCATAAAACGTGTGGTAACGGTGTCAGGACGGCTGGGTCAGAAAATGTGTCAGATTGCCGATAGGTCAAACTCTGTTTCAATAAAAGTAGATTCGACGTGTTCGACACGATGTAACTTTGATTGTTCCACGTATCTTATACTCGTGTTCCTTCACTTTCTTCAGTCGCTTTTCAAAATCTATCACGACATTATCGATCCTTTCCTTTTTATATTTCAACATTCTTTTTGTTCTAATATTTTTTATACAGTGCAAAATTATTTTTAGTGTCATTCTTTTATTTTTTATTTTTAGTGTCTTTTTATTCTTCAAAATTATTTTTCTTGTCATTCTTTTTGTGC